ATTTATCATACTGCAAATAAGTCACTGGAAAAACTAAACTATTAGTTATTATTATTAAACTGCAAACGTGAAGAAACATGCAGCACGTCAACAACAAAACTTAAACCGAAACTGGTTCTGGTTCGGTGGATTGGACCCGATGTTACACCATACTCTGTGACCTGCAACAGTGCAACACCGCCCCCTACGGTCATATGGGGGTCACATAATATGACGTCACTACGGATACTCGACATTACATTTTTAACCTAGATAGATGTCCTAGCAATCGATGTGTAGATTACTCGAGTACTCTGTTAATGCCCTAGTTAACACACGTATACCGATAACTTATTCAGGACTGCCGACAGGAAATGGCTTTGACTCAAATGGAGTTATTCATCCTTCTCTTTTTGTTGTTGTTGTTTTCAAGCTGTTGTATGAGCACACTAGTCCAATTCCTGGTGATGAACGGTGGCCCGTGATTGGCCAGTTCTCCAGCATTGGATCTATGGGAGCAGATAAGAGCAAATGGTTGGCCGCGGAGTTTCAGCGCACTCTGACCACACTTGGGAAATCCCTTCTTCGCCCAGATCCACCCTTGCACTTGGTACGTTCCAACATCTGCCTTACGAACACCACTGGGTAAGATTCAGGGATAAAAAAAATAGATCATTGTTAATTAGATTATTATAGATTGTTACAAAATACTAAACTGTGCAACTCTGCACAGAAGTTACACAATATTTCTCTTCATTTGCAAAAAACATGAGCAGGAAAAAAAACACCAGAAACAAGCAGCAAATCAAAGGAAGGATTAAAATTACAGTGTTAAATTCTGTGATTTTCTGATTTTTCTTACTTTTAGTTTTAAATGTAACCTCATAACGGCTGTATTTGGCTACAGTTGCTCAAAACTGTAAGTGAGTTGTGTTTAGGGTTACAGATTTCTAAGTTTCTCAAGAAAGAACTTGATGGGATGTTATTTTTCAGCTGTACCCATCAGTGGAAGACGTGAGACTGAGTTTAGAAGGCTACCCAGGTGAGTGTTTCTGTCTTTACTTTTGTACAAATGCAGATAGTTCATAGCAACAAAGTCCACATTTTATGTAGGTGAAAACTGACGAGCTGGTTCCAGAAAAGCAGAACATGTAAAATCTGAATATTAACTGATGGGTTTAACTTTTGTTTACCTGAAGGTGACATGTTTATAATTCCTGTTTGTGCCTTTTTATTTCTTAAAGGGTTTCAATTTGCATTTGTTCTTACTGTAAAAATATGTTTCTTTTGATATTTTAATTTTACAATATTTTCACTTCGCAGTCACAGTGCTGTTTGTTTGCTGTTTATATGTACATTCTATCTTAGATATGAATGTATTTTCTATCTTAATCCTATGTTAGCTGACATGGAAGATGCAAGACTGCGTATCATGGTTTTTACTTACCGTAGTTTTTAACAATGCTTGTTGCAGTGTCGATAAAGATCTGTTCTGTTCTATAGAGTGCAATATGAAGTGCTGCCTGAAGATGTCACTCGGCACACATTTTCAGTCTCATCACTGCTAACCGAAACAGATTCCTTGGATTGTTTCACAACAATTTGTGCATATTTTGTTGTTTTTAATTTTCAGTTGGGAAACACATTTTTACGTGGATAAATAATCAGCCCACACAGTTTGTCACAGTGATGAAACGCTCAAACTTGAAAGTTGCAGTCTATCAAAAGAAGCTGCTTTTAATGCTTAGTCAGCTGTTGTGTCACAACTTGATGGCATTAAATTCAGCTGTTATAAATCCTGTCATAATTCATGGTTTGTCAGTTCTAGTGTTTCATATTTTTGTGCTATGTTTAAACTTTTATGATGTGTGAATGACTTTTATATAAGCTGGTTGTGGGTTAATTGTTATAATCTATCTGGGTTTAATTTTTGTTGAATGTTTTGCTTTGCAGCTGGGGGCTCTCTTCCTTACAGCATCCAGACAGCTCAGAAACAGCTCTGGCTCCACTCCTACTTCTAGTAAGTTCACTTTAGCTAATTAAGTCTTTGCGTCCTGCCAGTTGCTTCCTGTCAACTGTTTTATTTGATTGTTTTCCACCCCAGGCCTTTCTGTTCATTTCATTAATTTAACTGCTGCTTTTATTCTCACATTGAGCCTTGAAACTTGGTCTCAAAGCTGCAGAAACAAGTGTCTTAGTGCCAAACAACCAGCTTTATAATGATGCCGTGAGGGTTAGGTGTTCCCACAGCACAAAATCAACCCATGTTAACCAAAAAGCTGTCGAAGAGTTGAAATATCAAGTGTTTCTATTAAACTAAAATACAATAAAATCCACATAAAACAAAAGCATATTAGTTAAGTAAAATACATGTGCACAGAAAAACCAATAAAAAGGAAAATTAATTTGCACCTACCCATCCAGGCAGTTGTACTGTAAAGTTTGCAGACGATACTGCAGTGGTGGGATGCATCACAAACAACGATGAGTCCAGGCAGGAGGTGCAACACCTGGAGAGCTGGTGCAGAAAGAACAACCTTCACATCAATGCGAAGAAGACGAAAATATAAAGTATAAAAAGAAGCAGTATACAAGGATCTAAGCTGTACAGTATG